TGCCTCAACCTCCCCATACTGAAGCAGATCACAACATAATGGCGTTTGAACACCTGCGGCACATAGATGCATATCGCAGCAGTTCACTAGCTAAGGAAGTGCCTTGTTGGGCATCAGCGTGAATAAGGGTCTGAGAAAGTCTTTTTGAGATCTCTGATATCTACGAGTTACTGCATTTTTAAGAACCACGTAAACTTTGAGATGTTTGTTTTTCGTACGCGGGAAGGTGGAGTTACGTGTAGGACCTGTGGATCTCATGGTCTGGCGTTAATTTCCATTTTCATTTCATCTGAAACGAGTGATCAATTTTTATGAAGATAGCTCTACAGCTGTGCGACCGTGCAAGTTTGCAGTCTTTTCATGCGTGCTTCATTTTCAAGTTGTGTTTTTCTTTTATCCACGTTGAAGGGACGAAAGGTGAACATATTTGTTGAACAGTTGAGATATGGGTCTGTGATGTTTCGACTCGAACCAGGCTTACTGTTCTTGAAATATCTTAGGCAGCCCCTACATAGCATTTTGCAAGAGACGGTTATGTTTCCTTATGTATTGTACTATATATACATGCGTATCGCGTTGGCTACCAGTACATAATGTGATCTTAAATTTACTTACGTTGTAGTGTTTCTTCGTTCCATTAGTGTTTGCTTTTTAAAATTTTCCCTATGATTTGTAATATCCACTTGTAGCATTAATCATAATGTTTTTCTAGAATCAAGAGGAGGAAGCGAAGAAACTTGCCAAAGACAAGGCGAAGGAGTTCATGAAAGCGAAACAAGAGGCGATGAAGCGTGGCGGACGCGGAGTTTCTGCTCAGACGATCTCGGGTTACGGACCTCAGTCGGCAAGATTAGAACCGGCTGCTGTAAGCGACGTGAGCATGGACTACAAGCCTTCGTATACTTCTGCGTCTGCCGCTCCAAGGTTTGTGCTGAAATTGTTTTCGCTGCTGTCCTTTGCAGTATTTGTTTTTTCTTGATTGGCTGATTGCCGTTTAGACGGTAATGGTGACTTCTGATTAAATAGGTAGAAACAGACTGATTTTTAGTCATGCTTTTTCTAGGAATATGGTTATGAAAAATCCTTATTAATCTCTAAAGCAAGCGTATCCTTTCTTTTTGTACAAATCATTTCTTGCCCCGTTTTCCTCCAACCGAAGAATTGGTACTTTTGTAGGAACCGTACTGAATAAATAGAATTATGCTTAATAAGTTTGTCTAAGGATGAAAGGAAAATTGCATCCTCACCTATAATATTTCCAAAATTTGAAAATATGCTGTTGTAACCTCATAATGCTTATGGTTGCATCGTTTTTTCTGTTGACGTTACCAAGCAGTTATTCTTACTGTTGTCGTGAAAACCAGTTACTCTTGTAATTCGTTTAACTACTGGTACCGGATTTACGCGGCGAATACTGTCGAGTAAAGTTACTTAGTTTATAGCGATGCTGCAGTGGTATCATCCTTATTGTTGTCATTGTCATCAGAGGTTTCAGGGTCAATGACCGAATACCGAGAGTAATGATGTTTGACTCTCTGGCTTCTCAAAATAATTTAGGTGGTGTTGGTTGTTGTGGCGAAGGTCATGCTCCTCATCGTAAGCAAGTTCGCCACTAGGTGTCGTAAGACGGATGGTTGTTATTACACCAGGTTGTACCACAATAATGCAACGCCTGTCGCTTCTGATTGCGTTTACGGACCATTTAAGCAGGCCATGGATGGCGTCATTGAGTTGGGCTGAAGAACATCTTTTTCGAACATCACCATACTTTTGCCACTATATGTAGGCACAATATTCAGACCACCCAATGTTCTGATGCAGCTACTAACAATTGTAGCTTTCCGATTGCGTATATTTTGCCGGCAGATAATGGCATATGTTGGTGCTGGAACAAACTTTTGATCGGACTCAGTCAATGGTTTCAGTCGTAATAAATATCCAATTACTAAGTGTCAGTGAAAAAAATAGCGCTTAAGATGGTCATTAATATCGCCGTTTCGGTTTCCTGCCACATATCAACATTTATCCGACTTAGTCGCATCATCCCATTGCTTCTAGGGGGCCGTTTGAGCAAACGATCTTACGGCTCCATATTATTTTAGCGCCTGCAGGACGCAAAACGCTAATTCCTCTTATGTCGAACAAAAACCTACTCCACAGGCAATGGTTACACCTCGATCCGCAAGCACACAACAAACATTAACTCCGGTGTAATGGATTTGCTGTCCAAGTTTAATTCAGCCATTATTTCTACTTGATCCTGTTCCTTGCCATAGTATTCGATTATTTTGTACGTTAATGGATAATGACGATTCACCTTTTGAAATGTTAGATGCAATGCGTCAACTGAACTGGTAAGGGGTAGATAGGCGGTAGATTGCCGTTCACACTGATATGCAGGTTTCATAATGCAAATCTAATCTTCGTATTTGATCGAAACCTCTTAACCTTCTGATAAGTGTATTTTCCTCATATTCAATAACTGGGGCCAGATGAAGGATTGATTTACACCAGATAATCAGTGGTTTCAGGCACAGCACATTTGCTACTGGAACAAAGCTAAGAGCATTTTGATGGGGACGTGCGTGCTTTCTTTATCGCCATATGTTTCGGTTAATGAGATCCTTTGGCGTTGCGTCACTCGAGACATTGACCTAGTGAAAAGCGTTCTACCTGTTGCGTCCTACCAACTTTGCATCTGGGAATATGGTACCACAAGCATTTAGGATGGTTTAGGTTTAGTTCTCCTTTGCGCAGCATGTATAAGGATGTGGACCACAGTCCTCAACGTACGATCAGTTCACTCATCTCTTGGTATCAAGCATTTGACCGGACGGTGGATTGTCATTATTTTTCAAACAAACCAGTTTTTTCGTGTTGGCACAGATGTCTAATAGGTCTGCTTGGAATTCAGTTCGTTGAAAAAGTTCTTTGTAGTTGTTAACCATTGTTACTATCTCGAGATGTGTCCAATACAAACCTGGTGAAGAGCTGCTCTTGTGTTCTACCATCCTTTTACATAGTGATCTCTTTTGCGTGGTCGCTTTTATCGTTTATAATCAGTGATGGTTAGTAGTACCAAAGCCAGTTTTGCATACTAATATAATCTCTGTGGCATCCTTGAGTACCTAAAGTCTTCTTAACTTTTTACTTTAAGCACTCAAGAATACTTAATATATATATTTGCTGATGTTTGATAATGATACTTTAAACGGGTGATGTGATTTTGCGTTCTGCGTATTCTCTTGGAAAATAACGTCGATTAACCTGGAAGAACGAACGTAAAGATAATGCCATTTTCAACTTTCCAAAGTTTATTCTGTGTTGTTTTTCATTTAAGTAAGCCAGTCGGTTCTGGCAAGGCGATGCATCTTGGTCGAAAAGCGAAAGACTTTGACTTCTTTGCCAGCCAACTAAAATCCGAAGGGCAGGGTACGTTGTCTTTTATTTTTCGTTATGTGAATCGATTACATTTTCTGTGCAGATGTAG